CAAGTGACAGAGCACTACTTGGATGTCTTGAGTTGTCCATCAGTGTGTGTAGATCATTTTTTCAGTTACACCTTGATTGGGTTTCCATATTCCATCTATATTAAATGTTTATCATAAATTATGATAACCTAAATGCATTACCTTGTTTAAAGGTTATTTGACAAATACTTGTCATACTTACCAGCTGATCTAATTCTAAGGCATTCTGTAATACCTCAGTATCCTCATTTCAACTAAAAGTACCTAAAGGTTTAACGTCATTAGCAAACTTTACTAGTTATACCTCAATAATTATAAATAAAGCTGATAATAAAGAGCAAAAGTATTAGTAACAAGGCCTAATTTGATTGCATAGACTCCATTAATACTGAATAACAAATTATCCCTGTATACAAATCATTAGTTAGGCCTCATTGGAAATTCTGTGTACAATTTTGGTCTACTTATCCAAGAAAGGATATTGACAAAAGGGCTCAGAGGAGGGTTAATTGAATGAATTTGGTGATGGAAGAATTATCTTACAGATATGTTAAAATCTTTTCTCTTGAGAAGATAAGGGTAAGAGGCAGTGGTGTAAACTAAAAAAAAATTAAACAAATGGGCCACCCAACATAAAAAGTAATTGGGTCCCCTCCATTTATTTCCCTATAATTGTAGTTATGCCAATGGTAAGAGGTGATCTTAATGAAGTGTACAAGATCTATTCAAGGGATTGATAGGTTAGAGACCTGTGATGTATGGAATGAGTTGCTGTCAGCAGTAGAGAAGGCCAATACGTTACATAATCATTGGTGATTTACAGAAAAATGAAAGTGTTTTGAAATGTTTAATTTTTAAGAGTTGTTGTGTATAGACAGCCAGTCTAGTGATTGGGGCACTTGTCACACAATCTGCAGGTCAGGGGCATGAATCCCCATCACTGATTGTGCTATCTGTTGGTAAAATAGTAGCCCCAGGGTTAGTGGTGAGTGGTGTTGACTAGTTGCCACCCCTCTAGTATATCACTGCTAAATTAGGGATAGCTAGCACAGACAAGCCTCAAGTAGCTTTGTGCAAAATTCATACAAAAAAAAAACAAGTATAGATAGCCTTGAAAGACCAAAAGGTCTCTTGGTGTCCCTAAGTTATAACAACCTTTTGTTTTCTCACATACAACTACCCTACAGTCCAATTAACTAGTCTTTCCCCAGTCACTAACAATGTGGTTTGATTAGCTAATTTTTTGTGGCACCTTATTGAAAGTTTGTTAAAAGTCTACGTACCCCATCTCCACATCCTTTCAACCATCTAGATAAAGAGTAATGTTTTCAAAAACTGATAACAGATCAGTAAGAACAGATTTCCTTTGGGCGAATCTGTGTTCACTTTCACATATGATAGAAACTTTAATTGATTTTGTAAACTTGTTTTATCAAATTCCTTATAATGTTTCCTGCTACAGAAGTAAAACTAATTTTCAGGGAAACTCTTTTTATTAACCCTTAAATAAGAGTAACATTAACAACTCTTCAATCCTCGGGCGCCTGCTACTTTATTGAGGATATTTGATTGGTTGAATATAATCCGTTAATGAGCCTCATAATTAATAGGTCAGTAAATTCAACTGATCAACTCATCTCTATTGGTGGATAAGTAACTGAAGCCATAGAAGCAGTGCTGTTAAATGCTAGTAGTAAAGCTAATAGAATTATCGGGTACATTTATGGAAATATTGATTACAACTCAAAAGAGGTAATAGATGTTTTTGCCCTGATGAATGTTAAATACAAGATAGTAGGTACTAAATTAAGCTTGATGTTCGATTATTAAAAGGAAATAGGAAGACGATGAGACAAGTTGGTTTGGATGATTAGTCTTACTTGTGAGAGAATGTTCCGATGCAAAAGAAGAAAAAAAAAGAGCACTATGTTTGCAATAATTTAATTTTCAGATGATTGTTTTTGATGTGAAAAAGATTTTTCATTAATCATTTTTTTCTTTTATGCACATTGCACACCCGATAATTGATATACATCCTTTGGGATAAAACTTAACATGGGATTATATTAGTTCAACTAAAAACAATGGTTTAATCAAAAGTTTTAGAAATATTTTGTTGGGTGAGAGGCATTTTTATTTTTTAATCTTAACTTTCACTACTTAACCTAATATAGGATGCAAAAGTACAGGAAAAGAAGGTTATTTGTTAATTCCAACCTGCCAATGTTTTTATTATAAAAAAAAAATATAAGCCAATTCCTTCTAAAGCCTGAACATGTTCACTGGTCTGTCAGAAGGTTTGTTATTATGAAACCAAAAAGGCCTGTTATCTATCCTTCTGTACAAACTATTAGATAGATCTCATTTGGAAAACGTTTTATAATTTTTATCTCCTTATTAAGAAACAATGTTATCTTGCAGAATAAACGTTGAGGAGGGCTACTAAGATG